TCATGTTCGGTCCCGTGCTCCCTAAAAAAAATATCTAAAGACGTTTATATGAATATTCATTCCTAAGCTGTTGTAGTTATGTATAGCCGCAAGATGTTTGCAACAGTCCTGCAGTTAGTTGCACTGTCCGTAACCTTTCAGTTAGGTTGCTGTAGACACCCAAATGGTGAGGTACGCCTTGCATTTGACTAGTATATACTCCATTGGAACGTGTACCATGGAGGGCAGTCGATTGGGTGGGAGGTGCAGTAATTTCTGGGCATCCCTTATGCTAAGCCGCCGATCGGCCTACTGAGATTTGCTCCTCCGCAACCACTCGACCCTTCCAGACAGATTCATAGAGAGGTTAAGAAACTGTCGAAAACCTGCTGGCAACCTACCCCATCTTATGAATTCGAAAAGTAAAATCCCGGTGCAGGCATGTGGTTCAAAAACACAGAAATGGATGAGGACTGTCTCACCCTGAACGTCTGGAAACCAACCGTTGCCAAAAATCTGTCCGTAATGGTTTGGATTCATGGCGGCGGGGTCAACAGTGGGTCGGCAAACTTTGACGAATACGACGGCAGATTCCTTGCTGGCAGGGAGCAGGTTGTTGTGGTGTCAATGCAGTACAGAGTCGGCCCTCTGGGATTCCTCTGTCTTAAAAAGGCAATGCGAAATAAAACACACATGGGCAACAATATACCTTTGGCGGCATGCAAAACGGGCCTGGAGGATCAACGGATGGCGCTGGAGTGGGTGCGTGATCACATATCGGCATTCGGAGGTGATCCCAACAAGGCGACGCTCTTCGGCGAGTCCGCGGGCAATGCAAGTGTCAGTCTACATTACCTTTCAAATGGGTCCAGACCCCTCTTCCCCCAAATGATTATGCAAAGTGCCAGTGCGTTCAACCGATGGGCACTCATTACACCAGCAGAGGCCCATGAACGAAGCGAGGTGGTAAGTGAAGTACATACTCTATGTGTCCTCTCTCAGTCCTCTGTAGAAGTTAAATTAGTTTTGGTTTTTCCCAGATTGGCATTTTATTAGAGCAACGCATAGCCTTTAAAATATATAAAAATACACCTTTTTTCTCTCCCTCTCTCGCTATTTCCGTTTTTTTCCAATTAACCTTAAATTAAGTCAATCAAATGCCTCGTCAAGTCATTATTTCGATGGTTTTCTGCCAGACATGCAAGTAGTAGAAAAGGAGTTGTTTCTATTTTTCACCTTACAACTGTCTTCTAACAGTTTCGTCACTTTCTGGTTGTGTGTTTAGTTCTCCAAAAGCCTTGGATGCTTCAACATGTCACAAGCGGAGCAGGTGAAATGCCTTCAAATGGTTACTCCAGAGGCACTCATAAAAAATGTCACAGCGGTGTACACTGCCAGAGCAAAGCGACGTGCAGCTCGTTTGGGCAAACTGTTTGGTGGCTGCAACATGTCAGATTACGAAACGTCTGCGATATACGCCTCGTTTGAATTTGCCCCGACCGTGGACGGTTCATTTCTGCCGAGCTGTCCACAAAAAATTCTTACAGAACAGACTAATAGGCCGCCAGGCTATAATACACCGAAACTGTTGATAGGTACAGTGGCCAATAAGGGCATGCACCGG